GGCACCTCAAGCTCCAAAGCCATATTCCTCTTGTTCCGGGCTGGACTGCAACGAATAGGATCTCGGACAGCCCTTATAAGACGATGGGTTCGGACGTTTTTGTTTTTCCACCACCAGGCTTCTTATCGATGCCACCAAACTTTTTATACCGGTCGATGGTGATGTAGACTGTTGACCTGGACATTTCTAACTTGACAACGGTGTCCGTGGGCGAGAGACCATTAAGACTGAGCTTAGTAACTGCCTCATTATATTTTTTCAGGGCAAAATATTTGAAAACTTTTTCCGAGAAAGTGTTATTGTATTTTTACCACGATATTCTAGAGGAAAAAGCATAGATTTCAACACAAATATTTTCAAAAAGTAACGACAAAACTTTTACGAAATTTAAGGCCCTTTACGCTAGAAGGGGGAAGGGCGGGGACACGTCTAGACGTCGCGTCAGCCACTGCGTCCAATATCAGCACCAGCGAATTTACAGGTTCGGACTGTCAACCAGTGCAGGGCAGTGGAAGTGAGAGTGAGGCTGATACTGAGCAATCCACTCCCACGGCGCATCAGCACAGTTCTCATTATAATAAATCTGACGTGCTTAAATCTGTCACGGGGGGCCAGAAGTTGTGACTTGGAATGTCGTGATGGGATTACTCGGTCCATATCCGGATTGGGAGTCAGACTGAAATGAGTCCTTCTTGATGCATTCTCTATGATATTCTTATGAATGTGAGGTCTGAGTCGCCATTACAGTAGCCTAATACGTGCAGCTGATACCAGGGCGTGTATGGCACTCGTGGACGGGTTGTTTGTCTTTGTTAGTCGCTGTGCTCGATTCCCTCTCCCGTCTTTTTGACATTGTCTTGCCGCCAGAGCAAGGTGGGCAGGTAGGTGGCAGTGTGGTAAATGATACGCACGCCACCGCACCGGCCTTGCGCCTACTTTACAGGGCAGGCAGTGGACGTCGTCTTTCGCGGCGTTCGACTTTTCGTCGTGTGTGGAGGATGCCTAGG